GATTTGCTTGGAGAAAATCTTCGTTATAAACAGATCTTCGTTATAACCAAAGTTCGTTATAGCCAGCTTTGACTGTATATACAAGCAATTGTCAATATTTATAAGAAAGAAGCGCACATAATAAATCTTTTAATATTTAAATCTCAGGAATAAAAGTTTGAGTCTATCAATTGTGTTTGATTTATATAAAATTACAAGTAAATGGAAATTTTAGTTTGGGAATGTGATTGGAACGACAAGTTCGTGCGAGAAGTCTTCATCCAAAAAATTGTCGTAGTTCTGAAGAAATGGGTGGTCGAAATCGTATTTCAAGAAGATTTAACGTCTATTCTCGCAATTTCAATATCATACGTTCATTCGCGGTGGATTAGTTATGGGAACGATATAGCGCTTGAATAATGTTCACGAAAGAATGACCATATTATGTACGACCGCCGTACTCGGATTCTCACAAGAAAGCATGACCGATATACGCCAGGTAAACATAAACAAGACAGCAAAGCCCAGAAGCGGTTTAGAAAGCAGGTCCAAATAGAAAACTCGCCTGATTCCTTAAAAACGGCACGAGAGAGAGAATTCAGTCAAACAAATAAATATGATAAGAATGAAGAAATCAAAAACAAAAACTGACTTTAGCTAATCGCAAAAGGATAAAATGGTCCGCTAGATTGTCACCCGTTTTTGTCGTTATTATTATATCCCATTAATACCTAATACGGGTCGCCACGTGTCATGAAAATAAACAAGTTTCTTATAATTCGCTGTGACGTTATGACCTTTGACCCATAACTTTTTGGGAGATGCAAGAACCCGCGGAACCACTTCCATTTCAAAAGCCTATAGGAAGCTCTTCCAACTCTAAAGAAAGCACGGGATTTTCAAGTGCAATAGACTCTCGTTTTATAGAGAAAGATACTTTAAATGACTCTGCACGCTCAGGTGCCGTCGAGGCGGAGAAAGTAGAGTCGACCGAGTCGACAGCTGGTACTGCCGGTGACAATTCAGGAGACAAAATGTGTCGAATATGTTTCTCTGGTCCTGAAGAAGTAGAGCTTGGAAAGTTGATATCTCCTTGCTTGTGTAAAGGAACTATCCGTGTACGTAAAGAAAGTCTATTCTTTGAAGTGTGAGGATGCTAACATAGACATAGTCGTCTATGAAAATATGATATTTGCTTGTTCATACTTGTTGATTCGATAACAGTATGTTCACATAGAATGTTTGAACGCTTGGCGAGTACGAAGTCAGAAGAAGAGCAGCTTTTTTCAATGTGACGAATGTAAATACAAATATGCATTTCGACGAACTACAATTGCAAAACTGGCAACGAATCAAGGTAGCATACATAATGAAATGCTTATGGTTTGGCCCTTACCTACTGGCGATTTTTGTTAACCGCGTTCTCGTCTGAACTCCTTCATAGCTGTATTGTTTCTTGTGACAATTATTCTCTTTAGTCTTTGTGTTATCTTGGGTGGAATGTGTGCCAAATTCTGCCTATATATGATGGATTCAGAGATCGGATCAGAGTTTTTTGGCGAGGAAGAAATGACATTATCATCAATATTCAGAATTGACAGTCGGAATTTTCGGCTGGGACTTTCTTTTGTCGGAATAATCGGTTTATTTCAACTTATTTTATGGATTGGTCCGTTCCCGTCGTTTGGTATGCGCGGTGGTGGTATAGGCGGTGGGCTTGGCGGCGGCGGCGGGAGTCGTGGAGATGGCAATGTGGCTGCTATTGTATTCCTAATATTTATAATAGTTGGGATCATCAAGTCTATGTGGGAGACGTATAAGTTGGTGAGAGCAATAAGTAGAATTGTACTGGAGAGGCTGGAAATGCGGATTTTGGAAGTGAATGAGAGTTGATAATGAGAATTTGTTTCTGTAGTCACGATTGTACAATTATTGCAACCTCACGAACTTTCAATTTTGCAAAATTACATGTAATCTATAATTATTTGATTCTTTCTTTTTTTATTATATTTCAGCTTGGTTCCTTGTAGCACCCAACTTCTGTTTACTGTATGGTCTTTTCTTTTTTCCTCTAACTAACATGAGTTCCTTGGATCTCTTTGGTTATCGATACAGTGGTTTCGCATAACTGCTGGTCATATGTCTACGATTGCTCATCGTAGACATCAATGAAGCGTATATTGCAATCCAAACTTGTTTCGCTTGCTTGGATTCACCAGCATTCAAGTGAATGTGTATCTACATGAAACAGCCAGATGGCATGGAGATATGACTTTTGTTATTATTGTTATTGGCTCATATCAATGTGATTGTATAAGCACGCACACTTGATAATGCAAGCGTGCTGATAAAGACGAACGCTTTTCGTCATACTGATTAATTCGTTTGGGACTGGTGTGGATAACTTTAACATGAGATAAGCCCTTGACCAAACCACTCACATCGGTACTGTTTATAACCAATCCAACTGTTGATTGCTGCATTACAATTGAATTGCTCAGTATCTTCATATACTTGGCATTCTTAAAGAACGATTGCACAATAATTCGCTTTCTACGAGAACAGATTTATTGACCAAGGGGCCAAGAAACCCTTATTTTAACTGTTGACTTTTACATTATGAGTTCTTTCATTTCGTTAGTGCTAAAGAATTTGTTGCTTATTTCTTATCAGCATCGAATAGTTTGAGATCAAAACTGATTAATATTCATTTTATTGTACAGGTTTTTTCAATCTTTACACGAAAATTTGATCGTGTTACCGTTCAATTGGTAGTTTAGCGACAATGCATATATTAATATATGCAAATAATAAAGGTTTGCGCGTATCAGAAGCGTGTTAAAAGAACACGTTCAATGCGTTAATTTACAGTATTTTATTATGAAACAATTCTGCTATCAACGTTCTTTCAAAGTTGACGTCAGGGTTTATAGTTTTAGACTATCGCTAGTAATAGGTCATCTGCATCATTTATCATGTCAATAAATTAAGAAATCACATATTCGACGATCGGTTTTATCGATGAAATGATCATTAATTCATAATAATTGAAAGTAATTGCAACCATTATACATTGCTCTTCTATTATCAATACTTATATATAATATAATATGGTATAATATAATTATACTCGATGAATGCAACGAGTTGTTACTATTAATCATGTGATGAATCACAAATATCAACTATGAACAAAAGACAATAACAATAATAATAACAATAACGACTCACGAAATCCCGAATTAAGTAATATACACAATACATCATACATGAACCGGTCATGATAATAATACATTCTTCACTGACATCGACAACGATCTCGTCAGATTCGAAGGTGTTCGCTTTTCCAATGCAGTCCCCCCGACCACTCCGCCAGTACTCGTTGTAACCACCTGAGCAGTGTTCCCGTTACTAGGAGCAGATGTTCCACGAGCTAGAACTTTTGGAGTGAGATATCTAATAGCCGCATCATTACCACTCGCCTGTACTGTTTCCAATGTGGTCTTACTCCTCTTCAAATCACCCATCACCTCAGCTGCCCATTCCCCAACACTCTTGGTGCTTGCTCGTACCGATGTCTGATTACCAAGGCCAAGCGCCTCCTCCAGATCATCTACTAAAGCATGTTCAGCTAATGCTCCATTCTGAAGAAGTAATTCAGCCATTGGAAACACCAATTTACCATTACTTCGAATGGCTCGACTATCATCTATATGGAGAAGTGATAGGAGAAGAGGAGTCTTCAGTCCGTGATCCTCCTCAACTTCAAATCGACGAGCTGTATTAAAATCTGCCCTCAATGCTATAGCCTGCATTGCTCGAGGTATATCATTTTCTTTTACTGCTTCAAATAGCATATCAGTTGCCGTCCTATCTTCATCGACAAGCGAGAAATCAACGTAACTTCTATCTACATATTTCGCTACGATAAACTTCTGCTTCTGCGCCCTGGAATCAGTGCCAGTAGGCTTAGGCAAGGGAGGCAATTTCTTCGCTTGGCTTATAGAAAAGGCATTTATAAGGTCTTCCCATTCAGAATCTGTGTTGGAAGGTGCGGACGAACTAGCGTTATTTGGGGGTAGTGACTGAACTCCGTCGTTCTTGGGCGGAGGAGTAGGAACTCCACTGGACTTCTTTTCCGGGGCTTTTAGTGTTGCCTCCCAGATTTCATTCGACCGCGCATTACCCAAACGTTTAATTAACTCTACGAGATCCGGCGTATATGACGTTGTATCAAGAGTAAGAGATCGTATTTTGGAGACATGGGTACCAAGACTACGATGTATTCCCGAGCATTCTAGTGATAAGTGAGAAGAAATATTATTAATCAATTAAACCATAGTAAAAAAAATTGCAATTAGTAGCATCTGCTCACCAATGCATAGTATAACGCCCAAGTTGATAGAACACCATTCAGTCTTTTTCGATCCACAATCCGCACAAATACAATTTGCTGGATCCGTATTCTTTATTATCTCGGCAACACTCTTCGTCGTTTCATCTTCCGCCTCTTGTTGACCACTAAGATTAAATGAGTAACTCCCATTCATATTAACACCAAACGACTGCCCCTTTCTCAAATCAAACCTTCGCTTTTCCGCCAAACTGGAAAGAGTTCCTCTTCTTTTTATTTGCTTCTTTTTCGATGGCTCCGGCGAATTGGATTCATTAGGAACTATTTGATTTAAATCCCGACAACTGCTAGTACCATTGAGGAGACTTTCTATTGCGTTGGAAATTACAGCCATCCAAGACGCCATATCTTCCGCAGAGGTAGCTTGATAAATACGTCGATACTGTGGCGTAATGACTTCAAAACAGAAACGACGGTCAGCACCACGTGCCTCTTTCACCGTTGCAAAACGTAGGTTAATTGGTTCATTGTGGGTTTCAAGTTGTTTTTTCCAGTTGCTGTATTCTCGAAGTTGACCTTCAGCCAAAACGCACCAATACCTAAGAGAACAGCCATAGCATGAGTAAATAGGCACCAAATGTTAGAAACGAAATTTTTTTCTATTTTCTTACTTGTGCCAGGTATTCTTTGCTAATTGATCCACGGCACCGTGCTGAGTTGCACGAGGCGTAGCAAAAAGAAATCCCTCTTTTCTTCTACCAGCAGCAGATGCTAACTCTGCGTCATGCTGTTCTAGATCACGAATTCCTCTAAATTTGTTCTGTCCGGTTGGCGGTGATCCAGCTAGACTAGGCCCATTTTCAACAGAATCGCTAATGCTATCATTAGCTAATACATTAGCATTATTGGCAATTGACATGTCACCATCATGCAAGGGTTCAGGCGGTATGGTGTTGGAACGCTGTTCAAGCGCTCGTCTTCTCTCTTCCCTCTCTTTCCTCATCAAGTGCATTTCCTTTGCCGTTTCAGCTACATCTGCAGTTAATTTGTCGAGATTTGGTTTCAGACTCAGCAATCCTGCTGTTGTTTGTTGATAGAAGTTCAGTTGTTTTTCAGCAAAATTTGTCAAATGATACAGGATCTCTTGGTCTTTCCGCCCTCCATGTAGATCTTGCATGTAAGCATGATAGTCGAAACGTTTCAATTCGAAGTTTTTTCGTTTATTCTGATACTTGGAATCTGACTCAAGTTTCTTCTTTTCTTTAGCACTATCTGGTTTTATTGATAAATACTTTGATAGAAATTGATAATAATCACGGGATTCCTCATCAAATGCCTTCTTCTTAGCATCTGCAACCTTGATATCATTTTCATACAGCTTCCTTAACGGTTCAATAAGCAGAACTTGTATCGTCCGGGTGTATGTCTCTCGATTTGTGGAGATCATCTTCATAGCCTCATCTAAATAGTTCTCGAGTATAGGCTGAAAGGCTTGTGGATGTGCTGCTGCTGCAGCTTTCAAGGCAGATATGAACTCATCGTCGGCCTCTGCCATTCCCTGCAATGCCTCATGATTATTTGCCGCTGTTTTCATGATTCGCTTGATATGATGGCGAAGCGAGCCCGTCTTCTTCTCGAAAGCAGTTAATGTTGCCCGGAATAGAGGGCCGTCTTCGGGTTCATGCTGACGTATGAGGTCATCGGAAGTACGACGCCCGCTACCTGACACAGAGGTGGATGTCGAACCAACGGTTAGCATGGATAAATTTGAAGCCTGTTGAGGCGGATTTTCAGGACTTGATGTGCGAATAATGCGTGTCATGCCAGGAGACCAAGTATTATAATTGTTCAACAACGATGATGACGGTGAAGAAGCGAAATGCGATAAACCATCCAAGGAGCTAGAACTTTTCGAGTGTCGATGAAAAGAAAACCGTACTGTTTCTGCAAAAAAGGGGACAAGCTAATCAAGTTCCTTGATCTTAAATAATAAATCTTCATGGCTCGATTGTAGAACAAACCTGCTACCCAGAAAGTGAATGAGGACAATGTCAGGAAAGCATTCTCCTTTGCGTCGTATTCAACGAACTAAAGGCACGATGGGAATCAGTTCTAATTAATTGAAATAATATTCGTCAAAGTGCATGAACGAATCAATGCACTCGACAGTCTATTAGATAAACTTACGCAACAATAATTTCGCCAGCCATTGTGTATTTCGTCCATAGTTTGCGGAGCCGCCCATTTCCAGGTCCATTCATGCTCAGTAGGTTTTGTACCGTCAGTCTCAAAGTTCCCGACAAGTGCAACGTTCGGGTGCTTGTGTAGCTGTCAATGTTGAAAGTATGAAGTGTATTAAGAGACAAACATTATAAAATTATATAGAGTTTTCTTGTCTAAAAAGCTAAACCAATGTGCTCTTTCATTAATCCTATCGTTTCAATTATGTCATTCAATAATTAATTGTCGCCATTGACGTATCAATGTTAGAACTAACGAATTCATCCAAAACAAAAAGACGGGAGGAAATAGAAAACTCTCTCGAATGCATGTCTGAAAATACGCAACTTACATTCGGATCATCATTAAATTCGACGGTTAATATTCTTACTAATTCTTTTTCATTTGCAACGTTTATAAAAGTCAATCCCTTGACTTCGTTTTTATCTCCATCGGCGGACCCAATGCTGAATTTGAACGTAAGCTTTAAATGTTTGTCCTTTACGAACTTTGGTAACAGCTGACTGAAAGAGATTTCTTGGGCGTCCGGATCCTGAGCAAACTCGAGCAGATCTGAAGTATTGGATACAGCGACTACTTTATTCGAGGAAACAGGGAACGTTATGTACGGATCGGAGGAAGAGTTGGAAACTATAATCTCGGTGATTCGAACTGTTTACAAGAATCATGGTGAGCGTCGTGAAGTAACTGTCATAGCTTTAACAGTATATGCGAGAAACATAGTGATGCCATCGTAATCACTTACATCGCTCGGGATTGCTTGTGTATAGAGCCGGGTGTTCGTTCAAAGAGCTCCCAACGTTTCCCATAGTGGAGGAGCGATATAGAACACCGTTTTGCTATAATCTATATTATCGCTTGGAGTTTCTGGACAGCTGCACAAAAGAAAAAGGCTTAACCGAAAATATAACTGTTTATGTCCGAAGAAAGGTTGACCATAAATGAAAGAATTTCTCAAAGTCTGTTTGTAATTAAAGACAAAAACAACCACAAATTGTTTACTGGTTGGAGGATTTTCCTGTGTTCTGTGATCCTGGAACTGTGCGTGTCACGCTTAAAAGTATCATTTATTTTGAATGTTTGACAAATATAGAATTTTCCGAGCCGATCCTTCTTTAACGTTAATATTAAAGGGCACATTCACCTGATCAGTAATGGTGAGGCGCACCAACAGGGCACGTAAGGTAATTACGTCAACAAATTACAATGATTAAATTGACATAATATTTTTTATCGGCTATAATAAAACTTTTGAAATTCCAAAAGCATAATGGCCTCTTCGTCGAGCTCGTCCTCCAACGACCCAGATAGACGTAATAAAGCCCAAGCTGATTACGTCAAGAAACTAAAAGAGCGGCGTGAAATTGAGGCAAAAGTGAAAGAATGTGCATAGATATGGCATAAAAATTAGCAAATTTGCTTTGAATTTACAAAATCGACTAACATTGCTCCTGTAATATTCTTGCCATTCAGTTCGCCTTGACCTTCAAGAGCTTGAAAAACAGTACGAAAAGACAGAAGAAGACATTAAAGCTCTACAAAGTGTAGGCCAAATTATAGGAGAAGTTCTGAAGCAGTTAGACGAAGAGCGCTGTAAGCACAATAATAATTCGCTACAAAACTTCAATGCATATCAAACTGTCCCGATCTGATTATCTTTGGCTTACAGTATATGCCTCATTCATTCTACAGTCATCGTCAAGGCCTCATCTGGTCCACGCTATGTCGTTGGATGTCGAAATAAAGTAAACAAAGAGAAGCTCAAACAGGGCACGCGTGTCGCTTTGGACATGACAACTTTAACTATCATGCGGATGCTGCCCAGAGAAATAGATCCTTTGGTTTATAATATGAGTCTGGAAGATCCAGGGAAAGTGAATTTTGCAGGAATCGGCGGTCTTACCGAACAGATTCGTGAGCTTCGTGAGGTATAGTTTTATCTGTAATTTATACATGTTAGTATTCCTATCAGTATTATTTTAACTGTGAAATTTTATTCAGGTGATTGAACTTCCTTTAATGAACCCAGAACTTTTCCTTCGTGTGGGCATCAAGCCGCCGAAAGGCGTACTCTTGTATGGTCCGCCGGGTACTGGCAAGACACTTTTAGCTCGCGCTGTAGCAAGTACCTTGGAAACGAACTTTTTGAAGGTTGTTTCCAGCGCAATCGTGGATAAGTATATCGGCGAAAGCGCAAGATTAATTCGCGAGATGTTTGGATATGCCAAAGACCACGAGCCTTGTATCATTTTTATGGACGAGATTGATGCTATTGGCGGAAGGCGCTTCTCAGAAGGAACTAGTGCTGACAGAGAAATTCAAAGAACTCTGATGGAGGTTGGTCCATTAGATGTGATAAAAGCCTGACGTTGGCAGTACCAAGTTCAATACTTGTCATTCAAACGATATTTGAAATTGATCGCATCGCTTTGCTGTAGCTGCTTAATCAAATGGACGGCTTCGATTATCTCGGCCAGACCAAACTAATTATGGCCACTAATCGACCCGATACACTTGATCCTGCATTGTTGCGACCAGGTCGGTTAGATCGTAAGATCGAAGTTCCATTGCCCAATGAACAAGGGCGGCTGGAAATTCTAAAGATTCACGCAGCACCTATCACAAAGCACGGCGAAATAGGTAAGTTCTATATTCGGGAGACAATTGTTGCTTTCCATTAAAATCCTATTATTCATCTTACCACAATTGCTTTCTAGATTATGAGGCTATTGTAAAATTATCGGACGGTTTCAATGGTGCTGATCTACGGAATGTGTGTACAGAAGCAGGTAACGTGAATATAACAAAAAGAATTAGCCAAATTAAAAGATACATGCTTAAGAATTATTATTTTTGTTGTATTAGGCATGTTTGCAATTCGCGAAGAGCGCGATTATGTAGAACAAGAAGATTTTATGAAAGCGGTCAGAAAAGTTAGCGATGCAAAAAAACTGGAATCCAAGTTGGATTACGAGAAGCTATAGACATTTTCACTAAACATCAAATAAAATTTCTATATATTGAATAAGTGGCAAGGGCGAGTGCAATGGTATAAATGATACTTTCATATTAAACGATTTTATTCTTCTGTTAATCTATTAAATTTACAGCCTATATATTATATATCCTGTATAATGTTGAGGGTTTCTCAGCTCTTTATTTCGTATGGAATTGTGAAACATAGTTGAGAAGCCGAGTATAACTTCACTTCGTAGCCGCTGCACCTTCTTGGTAGTCGAGTTAATGAGCACGATCACGCCTCTATCTCCTCAACACACACGCACACGCACACACGCACACACACACACCCCCACACGCCCTCTCTTTAATAAAAAGACATGACTACACTTTGGGTTTTTTAACTGTTACCTCCACTTTGTCTCCCTGAAAAGGAAATTTTCGTTAATATAGCGTATAATCTATTAGGACATGGAACAATGAGTTTTACGTGAATTTTTAACATACGTCTACTTTTCGCTTTTGAGCATTCCCTGTACCAAACTTTTCGGCGCGTTTGCGTCGTTTTTCTTCCTCGATGGGGTCAACCGATGTCGATTTGTTCCCATTTGTCTTGTTATTTATACTTGATGTTTCTCCTCTTGGTTGAAGGCCAAATTTCTCCGCTCGTTTTTTCAACTTTTCTTTGTCCTCGGCAGAAAGTTTCTAAGACATGAATAAAAAAATACAAAAGACCGAACACAGACGTAAGAATAACAATGGGTTTACGGAGAGCATTCTTGCTAAACTGGTGCAGAAAAGATGAGAACTTGGATATCGTACAGGTCTTGGTTGACTTCGCACATTTCCGGAAGAAGAGAATGACCGACCTAAAGAGACATGTATTCATATGAATACGGGTTACAAATAACTGAATTCTGACACGCCAATTGCAACGTACCTCTAGATACGTCTTGTGAATGATATGAAGCAGAACGGCCTGGATTCCTTTGCGCAGGCTTTTCTGAATCATTTGATGTTGGTCCAAATTTTTGTTCACGCTTACGCCGTTTCTCTTCTTCGGTCAAAAGAACCGGTGCCTTAACAGGATTGTCATCGAATGTGATCTTTTTACATCTAAATCCGCTAGCTGTCACTACATACTCCTCTTGGGGCACTAACTCTCCGGATTCTGCGGTCGAATTTGCTGATTCTTCCGTATCAGCTTTGGTTACAGTGATTTTTGAATCGGACAACCGATTTTCTGAAGGATTTTTATTGTTGTCTTTAGAATCGTTATCTTTTTTTGATTCTACTTTCTTTGGCGTGTCCTTTGAATCAGCCGCTGCCGGTTTTGGAGAGAGAGATACGAAATCGAGGTCACCCTCTTTTCCGAGTATATCCCTACATAGAGAAATATTCGAAATTAGCGCAGTCCCCAAATTGATAGCGGATGGCACAAATTGGTTCAATGGCAGTAGATATTATTTTAAATATTAAAATTTGTTCAATATACGCAATTGAGAACAGCTTTGACCATGTTCAGGAATGAACGTACGATATAGACAAATCCCAATCGTAGTTTTCATCAATGCCAGGAGAAGCAATGTCATCTAACTTGAAGTCGTCATCATTTGGTGAGTGTTGTTCTTTTCCTGTTGAGTGGACGTCGTTGGTAGTGACATTGTTCGTTGGGACTTGGCTTAATCTTATTGATGATTTGAGATCGGAGACGTGGTTCGTTGTCTCGTTGACTTGTCCAATCGAGATAGAGTTGCTTTGTTTGCTCTGCTCGAAGGCAACGATCCGAGCTACTAGATCTTCTTTCTTTCCAGTTATGGGAAGCCCCCTCTTGCTGAGTAGATCTTTAAGTTCTGTTACCTTCAACACACGTAGCTTAGCTTCAGTCAACTCGATTGCTTCAGACATTCTGACTACTATGAAAAGGATACTTGTTATATGTTATTATGCTATATCGTTGTGTGCGTGCTGCACAAAAATCAAGTATAGCGCCACAGGAAATTTTGGGGAGTCTGTAATTTTAAACGCCACGTTTGTCCTACCTATGTTAGATCACGCATTCCTATTACAATTACTATTACTATACAAACCCGAGTCATGCAATTGCACAAAAGGAAACATCGACATTCCCCGACCCCGACCGTAAAAGGTTTTAGCGGTTTTCAATGTTTAGCGGATAATAATAATCTTAATTGTCGATTGTTTTTCATTCAATTGCTGAAGTCAACGTTGCGGCCTTTATGTGAAGGAATCATAAGCAAACTTTCGATGGGATAAGCAATTTTCTACATAACAAGCCATTATACACGCAATGAATTCTTCTAATTACGTATAGCAAACACATACAGTAAAAGCGTTTGCCAATAACAAGTACAACTATTGTTGAAAGAGGCTGGAAGATTTCGAATACTGAGACGTTTATTGACGCGTAAACCATCAAACCAATCTATCGATACCACTTTAAAAAGACAACGTGGGTGTTTTACAACAAATACTGTATGATGAAGTCCTTATATAGTAAAAAGCTCCTGAAAACAAATAGCATTACAGAGTCTCTTTGTCAATATCAAGCTGATAATAACGGATATATGTGCAGGTAATGGGCTTTTTCCAGAAACGCATTTACCAGTGGCGCAGTTCTGATGAAAGCGGAATACAGACATGACTTTCAGTCCTAAAAGGATAAAATATGTAACATTGAAGGTAATTTTGTGACATTCATCAATCTAGAATGGAAATGTAAATAATTTGAACTCGTTATTTATATATTACTGAACGCTGTAAGACATGTATGAGATTATAAGTAAGCACCGTTAATTAATTGGTCTGTCTTTAATAATCTTTTGTTTAATTTTATAATAATGGTAATGAAAAATACTTTAGTCGTAATAAATTAAAGGAGAATAAGGTTCTTCCGTGTGGTTTTATAAATTTACGCAAACTTTAACGTTCATACTCGCAGTTGGGCCTAGCCCATAACACCATTATTATTATAGCGTAACTCCATAATAACATAACCCTTTAAACATAATTATAATAAGCTCTGGCTGTACGTATTAAAATGATATGTTCTTTTTATTTTTCATTAAGCTATTAAGAGAAGAGATATTATCTGCAGTTGCATTATCTATTTGCCCACTATATCACTTGAATCTATTTATAAGTAATAATGGACATCTCCTCCTCCTCTTCATCATTTGATAATTTTATCTTGACTTTCTGCCTCTATGGATAATTACACATCAGTTGGTTCTTCACAAAGTTAGTTGATCGTAGGGTATAATTAATGATGACATCTTTAGAAAATCAAATTTGATAAAGCAAGTTACATAAATGTCATATGTCATATAAATAACTAGTAACATAATCACGACGCAAAAGAGTTCAGTCCGTCACCTCCGAGTTGTTCCAGAGGGCATTTGACCAAATATGTAAGTGATGCGAGCGAAAATCAGCAAAATTTACAGTCTTTATTATTGTCTGTCATTTTCGTTTATAGTAGGACACTAACAATTGTTACGTTCGGTCACCTGGGAGATCAAAGGGTATCCTCAAAACTTGCCCTAAACATCAATTAAGGCGCAGCTAATTCTTGAAGGCGACTCACTTGTAAAACATACTGCAATTTTTGCGAATAAGTTACCCATAAGATGCGCTAAATTTATTATTAGATAATTCATGGTAATTGTATTTTCCATAATGCAAATATTGAAAATAGGAGACGGGTCAGCAACTATTGAATAGTACCCTAGGTTCAAAATCCCAATAAAGAAGCAAGAATTTTTAAATAGTTGGCGATCATCATGAAATAGAGTCGTTTTTACTGCAGTACTTAGAATTAGCTTTTGGTTTCAATTCAACTGAAGCAGAAACTGAAGTAGAAGCAAGCTTTTGCTTATGAGCAGACGGGTTATTTGTCAATCCTTCATTTTGATTGTTATTTTACGTTAATGTCGAATCTTGTCACGTGGTGAACAATTACATCATTATCTTAATAATATTAATATTAGTAATGGAGTCGTCTTTTGATTGCCATCATTATACATTATCGATGGCTGAAAGTAAATGGACTTGCTCACCTTCAAAAGAAATCCGACAACAAAGACAACCAAGCCCCTTGCGTAAACAACAGCACATATATGGAACAAACCCACAAACAGTCGTTGGGGTCAATTACTACAATTCCAAAACCGGGGAGCTGTACACACGCATTGGAATCGATTGATGTGAAAACGTAATTCGTTCAGATCTGCCAAATCGCAAACAAGAACCATAATTGGTAATAAAGCATCAAATACACACATGTGGCAATGCATACTCCCCAATAACTTATTATTGAAGTGATCAACTACGCTACGTATATCATTACTTAACCCTGAAGACCGCTGGCACGTGGATTCACTTTCTTTCTCTAAACTCGTATCTTATACCGTCATCATGTCCAACAACGAAACGCAATTAAAGCGAGCGATGTCTGTTATCAGAAAAGCATGTACATTGTTCGTGTTGACCGAAAATTAGGCATTGATTAACGACACGACCGTCTACAAATATATAGACAACAGTTGGACAATTCGTAAACGAAGTGAGTGGCCCGCGGAACCAACGGCAGCAGCAACAACGGCGACAACGAAATAATCGAGTCAGGTTTTGTCAGTAACAGTGTCGTCGAACAACACCTTACAAAACCCATAAATCGATAAACTACATTCTTGATAAGTACCGGCAGTGTGCACAGAAAAAAGCATCCGAATAATACGATTGAAAATCACGACAACAAATTCGAAAAAGAAAATTACAGCCGACATATTCTGAAACGGGTATCTTCAAACATTTAACATCGACAATAAAACAGCTGTTGTTGAAGTTGATATTAAAGTAAATTTTTATTGTTACATATTAATATTAGGTTTAATAAACCGTTGTGACATGATAATCCAATTAGAATTTAGTATTATGATGGAAACCACCCGTTTAACAATTCAAGAGTACTAATACGTTTACTTGACTAGTCTCGTACAAATACAAACACACTATCTAGTAAACAAATCATAGGGCATAAATAAAAGCGCTCAAATTCACCACTCCCACTCCCCCTCTTTACTTCCCTCCATCTCATTATTTTATTCACCCTCACTTTGCGAAACCAGAAGAATAAGGATCAAAGCCGAGCATTGATTTACAAATGTTGTAAATAAAAATGCTGAACGACAAGAAAAAAACAAGGAAGACCAAAAAAGTTGGAGGAAGCCGAAAGAAAAAGACGGGAAGAAAAACTAGCTGAAAACCAAAAACTTATAGAAGAAGAAAACAACAAGAATTGGCCTAAAAAGAAGAAGAGAAGCCGAAGAAACAGACAAAAAGCCCTCCAAGAAATGGGTCCGGTTCATTTGCCCGACAATCATTTTCCCGACAGTCATTTGCCCGACAAACGTTTGCCCGACAATTATTTGCCCGACAATTATTTGCCCGACAAATTATGTATCATAAGTATCGTAATCAATTGATGAGTATTTGTATATGTTGTATACTGTCAATAACTTATTTAAGATAATCAGACAATGTAACAATGTTTTTTTATTTAAAAAAGAAATAATACAAAATTAAATTAAAGTAACATATTGTGGGCAATTCCTCGAAGAAATTCCATACGTGACCTATTATTACGGTCATTAAAGACAGTTTGAATTCGCGTTTCATGCATATAATTTCGTCTGCTTTGCACAGGTCGTGGTGCTCCGCGCACAATCGATTCTATGTCGAGTTCAACACGATTCTGTTCCTTTCGTATTTCTTGTATGATTTTAAAGACACCTACATGCGCCTCTGCTGAATTTTGCGTGCGAGGAAACGCGTTATTAATGTTGTCAGCCACTGACCAAAAATCAGGTACAAATAATGGCGGGCTCCGAACTATATTTCCATTCCTTAATTGTCGCCGTATTCTACCATAGACATAATTATCTTCAAACCACTGTATTATTTCATTAGCCTCCAAAGGAATATGGCCTCTTAATTCATCAAAAGCCGCAGGAATTTCATGGGTGGTAAGAAAGCAAGTGCGGGGATATGCCGTATCAGTAAACTGAAATTCTCATTGTTTCCATATTGAGTGCTCAGACCGGACATTTGTACTCTTCGATAAACATTCTGGGCTAAATGAAAATGACAACCCTTATTACGAACCCCCGGAAATTCCTCACGAGCAGCGTTAATAGCGGCTTGTTCAAAGTCTGTTAGAATAAACTGTGGTTGAAGATCAATATTTTCTTCTTCACTAAAATTAATTATGTCTTGAAACAATCGTCTATAACATTGTTCCGATTTACTAGACATTAGTGCATAAACGAGAGGCATAATTCTGGAGTTGTCATTCCCACCTACACTTCCGTGAATAGTGTATAGCTGTTTGAAAATTGTAGGAACGGTTTTAAACGTGCCATCCATTATCCAGAAAGGCGATTGTTCCAAATATCGAATATTAGATGTGGTGGTGAATATAAGTATTCTGTTTTGCCCCAAGTCGGAATCTCTTATCAAAAAGGCTGATCCATCGAATGTTGTTGTTAGATTTTCAGGAATGACAAGATCATCCAAAGATTCTGGTTCAGTGGGAAGCTCGGAACGCCGAATTCGTTTAACAGTTTGACTGAGTGCGTCACGGGATGGAAGATATGGATGTATTTCGCGAGAACTATTAGCAGCTACGGTTTGAATTATTTGTGCTGGCCGCTCGCTTGTTTCTCTTGCTCTCTCCTTCACAGTATTAACAGATCTTATAACGTTAATTCGATTTGCTTCAGCAGCATGATTATGGTCAGAAGTACTTCGGAGATGATGTTCTCCATCAACTAATCTAGTAGTTGCAAATGACTGTCGGGCAATTAAACAGTTCCCCAAGAAATAAGGCCGGCCGTATTACCAACGTGCGATGAAATTTAACTTGTTCTCATGGAGTTTGATAAATTAATTAAGAGATCAGGGTAACTAAGAGAAGACTACATAGCCAAATGTCGTGATATTGTCATATGTGATACATCTGTGTCATTTACTAGTAAGTTATCGTATTTGCCAATGTTTGGGTAGATATTGCTTTCGAGGATGTGGTATTCGTAAGAAGTACCGTTCAACCAAAATGCTCCTGCGCTATACATGATGACGTGCGACAAGAATAATTATTTCAAAATATTGCACTAATTGTATTAGGTATCTATACGCACAATACGCGATTTTACTGCGGATATGTCAAATTGATTTCACGTGACGTAAATTCTTTGTTTACTTCTACTACTACTAAGAAAAGGAACGACTCTTATCTATACTTGCTCATGCGTAGAGTCATTACCAAGTCAATTTGTGTGGATCGTGATATGGAAACCGGTTTTAACTAACAGCACCAGTGAATTAACAACAAGTAGATCGAATACCTCTGTAGTATATATATATGCCCCCAATGGACAAGGCTCCGGTCCAAGCCTATGCAAAATTAGAAAGCGAAAGCTTCTGCTACTATATAAGAACTCTTCAGGTCATGTTGGGACGTAAGGCTAGTTCTTCTGATCAAGTAGATATACACCTAGGTCCAACTAAAGCTATTTCGCGTCAACACGCGCGACTTTCCTATAATTTTGCTACCCAACGCTTTGAATTGATGATATTTGGAAAGAACGGTGCCTTTGTCAATGAGCAGTTCGTTGAGAAAGGAGAAGTCGTCCCACTAGAGAACAGGTATGTCTCGTAACTATGTATCTACATCTGTAACGACCAAAGTGACTTTATTCTACTACGACTGCAACCGAAGTCTATAAGTGACGCGTCACATGTCACTATATTTATCCCATAGTTTATAACACGTTCTAAGTACTGTTGGTATTTCCTATGTGAAATGTATTTCTTTATATAATTACATGCTATTTGTTTATACATTTAACCATATGTAAATCACTGCCATTAGAGTCGTTCATCATCCTCATCATTAAATAACGTCAATAATCTTATACCAGGACCAAGATTCAAATAGGAGAAGTACGATTTTCCTTTTTGCTCCCTCGAATGGATACCGACATTGATTCTACGGACAATGGAATGTATTCCTACAAAGATTACGAATGTGAAGATACTGAAGATGCTAGCATTGATGATGATGACGACGATGATGACGATGACGACATGAATGTAGATGAAAGTAGTTTAACTGACGACGAATCAAGAATCAGGTCCATTCGTCGACAACAACCTAATGTTATCACAAGATCAAAGGCAAAGAATGATCCCAGCGTGGCGACGATGGACGCAAGAGAATCGTCATCTGGAAGGGTAGCTTCATCAATCGATCAATCAGAAGTATTCAAATGTCAGTCGCGCACGGTAAAACCTCCTATGTCGTATGCCGCTCTAATAGCACAGGCTATAAATGCTGCCCCACATAGAAAGCTCACATTGAATGGAATTTACAATTACATCACTAACGAATACCCTTATTATCGTATCGCACAGAATGGTTGGCAAGTATGTGAAAATGTGGCAATCTCATTTTAATTACGTTACTCCACACAGTTATTCATGCTCACGAAATTCTTGCATTGAATATGTAGAACTCTATTCGCCACAACCTATCTTTAAACAAAGCATTCATGAAAGTACCAAGAAAAGTTAATGAACCTGGAAAGGGAGCTTTTTGGTCAATCGATCCCAATAATGAGGGCCAGCTATGCAATGGTGCTTACAAAAAAAAACGACCAACTAGTAGAAAAAGATCAAGTTCAACAGTGTCATATGTAAAGTCTCCTCGTGCAAAGTTACCGAACATAACAATAGAACACTGTTCTCGATTCTTCAGTGGAATGCCTCCACGTTCGCGTGAATCAACTATTACCGAGCCTACATCTGTGTCTTTGCCTCGCAATGGTGTTAATTCGGAATCACCTACAGAAACGCAGAGGTTGTCTGTGCCAAACTCTATTTCAACGACACCATGTTTACCGCCAAGGAGTAACCAACCAAGTGGTCTGTCCGATGTCGCTTCTGATATTCCAGATACAGTCATGGAATCGGCCTCATCTGTTCAAACACTCGAAAATACGCATGGTCCAGTTCACAGCGCTCTGCCTGACAGAGTTCCAAGTACGACTAATGGTGGTAATTTTGGTGCGCTTGCAACGAATCAGAAAACGCTAAATTCTCCTCATAACGCTTCGATCAACGGTACCAACATGACAACTACTGAGTTAGTGGCCGCTCATCTTTCACAATTGACGGGGCAACCAGTCTCTTCTGCTGTCATACAATTATCATCTAATCGACTAACTCCCACTCAACTGCAACAACTTTCGACTGCACCACTTGTTCAAAGGCCGAATGAGTTAATCATCAAGTTCGAAAACCCAGGTTCTGATCAACAGAGTATACCGAATTCATCAACACGCAGGCACAATAAACACAATGAAAAGGTGAATATGACAAACACGGCAACAACTGTCACATTGAACTCACAAATTACTCCTTCGACATCATCCGTTTTTATAAACAGTCACCAAAGGTAAATGAAGCAAAGTAAGGTTCATTATACTCTTCTAAAATAACATTCATCAGCAATAGTAGCAGCTATCTGCTGATCTGTCTATAGACGTCAATGGCTACTATAAACGAGATAGCGTTGCAAATCCTTAAACTAATTCTTTTATGGAAAGTGAGCTTTTACACATGCATTCTCCGATCGTAGGGTCGCGAATGATTGGCCTGAATGACATTCATATATTGGGAAATAGAATTGGTTGATGAATAGTCTACTACGACTGCGGGAATTCATGTTGGGATCGATCATTGTTTGCTCCAACTCTATTTCGTATTACAATTACTTTTACCGTTTAATAAAATTCTATAAAGTTGTATATCAGTCACTTCATTGAGGTGATTAAATAAGGCACGCGTACTTCGATCACGTGGTATGAGTTTCCACACCTCACTAACAAATCGAATTAATTTGGCAACACCCCTGAGAGTACAAACCATTTATGGGATCACTTTATGTAGCCCGCATTCTCATGTTCTTTTCCCTTGCGCCAGTTTTCTCGTGGATAACTCAGGGACTCACAGACTCATGGATACCCCACCCACATACTTTGACATACTGAACGATCTCAATCGGGAGGTCTTTCAGGCTCAACCTAAAGATGTGTATCAATTTTGTGCCAACTATTTTAATAGAAAACTAGAGGAACAAAGAGTTAAACTTCTAGCAAATGGTATGCCGCAAACATATTCTGATTGGCTTTCTTGGGCTAGAGTAATTAGCACCAAACCGTCTATTCGTTCTACTAGAGGAAATTTTTAGAGTTTGAATTAGAAAATATTTCAGAGATCTCTAATTCTTAATATTCGTATTTTAACAACAAAGGTCAACAGAATATGCAGTTTGTCCAGCCCCCAGGCATACCTGACTTTTACTCTTCTAAAGCCTCTACGGCGAGTACGCCAACGACGGATTACTATGCAGACAGTGACGAAGAGATGTATGATGAAGAACCCGGTGATTTACCTATAATTCCAATAACTTATAACCGTGGCCGTCGCACATCCGTAAGTGCAGAATCGATGGCTCCAAGTCAAGACAAAGACTACATTAAAGTAGTCATTCCCAAGACAGAACAACAAAGACAGCGAATAGAGGCGTCGATCGCCAATAATTTTCTATTTAAAAATTTAGATGAAGAACAGTATAAAGACGTAATTGATGCAATGGTTGAGAAGAGAGTTATTGAAGGCGAAGAAGTGATCAAGCAAGGTGGTATCGGTGATTACTTCTACGTCGTTGAAACCGGTACCTTCGATGTCTATGTCTCAAAGAACGGAGCCCCTCCGGAGAGAGTCAACGAATATGGTCCAGGTGGGAGTTTTGGTGAGTTAGCATTGATGTATAATGCACCACGTGCTGCTAGCATCGTAGCGACTTCAGATGCTGTTCTTTGGGCACTCGATCGAGTTACATTCCGGCGTATCTTGATGGAGAACACTTCTCGCAAACGTCGAATGTACGAAACATTCCTTGAGGAAGTTCCTCTTCTAGTCTCGTTGGAACCATATGAACGACACAAGATTGCAGATGCGCTAGAGTCTCTCTACTACGAAGATGGGGAGCTTGTAATTAAACAGGGGGATATTGGTAACAACTTTTACCTCATAGAATCTGGTGAAGCTCGCTTGACCAAAGTCGACGAAGATGGAGTTGAACATGAGCTTCCAGGGCTGAAAAAAGGAGATTACTTTGGGGGTATTTACAAAATGACGTTCCGCTATATGTTTTTATTTTATGTGTTGGCGCTGATATGACTATTTCTGCTTCACAGAGCTTGCTCTTCTCAATAATAAGCCGCGCGCAGTAAATATTCGTGCAAAAGGACGACTAAAGGTTGCAACGTTGGGAAAGAAGGCTTTTGTTCGACTCTTGGGACCAGTCGTTGATATTTTTAAACGAAATTGCGATAACTATGACTAGTAGAAAAGACCCCTTTATAGTAATTTGTTCATACACGGGCCCTAAAGGTACATATTTGTTATTACTCTGACTAATACATGTATAATTTAGCCGAAATTTAACAATCTCTGCAAATTTGTCACAAGCAACACATTTTCAGTGTTATATATAGATGTTTGCCATAGAATCCAAATACCCAGTTTGTTTACCTTTTATACAACCACAAAAATTATAAAGTAACTATCAAAAATTGATGCAAATATTTATAAAATAAGCATTTAAATTCATGATAAAAAGGCTTGAACAATTGCGCAATCGAATGGTAAATGGGGGAGGGAGGCACATTAGATACGTGTGAACTAAAATTTTTGGATAACAAACATAAATTGGGGCAAGTGAACATTTGATCATGTGAGTCAAAAGAGGCTGATGTGGCTGGAAATTGATGAAGCTTTGTTTGATTTATAGCTGTGGCTTATGCCCAAATCCAGACTGACAGCATAGCGGGCTTTAATATGATTGGATGACAGTTGAAATGTTACACACATAGTCTGCACATACTGACCAATTGTATGCCATGAAAACAAATTGTTAAAAGATAAAATCTTAAATTGCACCTTTTTTTCTTACATACAAGATTCCAGCAAGCAGAGTCTAGCCCGTTCTAATGAAAAGAAGGGAAAAAGAAAGAGTCGACACTGCGACTTAAGAATTTTCTGGACAATTTAGTGGAACGATAATTAGTTATAAATACGAGTCGTAGATAGTAGCTAAAAATCATCGTTCCGATCACTCGAATCATATCTTCAGGTCAGATCAATTCAGCAAGACGTTGCTATTAGATAGTTTCTTTATATTCTAATAAATAACCGATTCAAATAAAATCATTACTATTTCATTTATTCCCTGATAAAAGATACTTAGCATCGTTTGGGCAAGTGTAAATCGCTTTCTCGTCAGCAGTGAATAGAATTTAATCTTGCCGATAAATTCTATTTAGTACTTTTGCAATTAGCGTTAGGGTTATTATAGCACTTTTCAAAATAGTATGATCATCATCATTTCAGCCAATAGAATCAGTTATAATCGCCTTATAATCGATGGTGTAACAACCCAACAAGTCTTCCTTTTCTTGCCTTGCGCTGTTTAGTAATCACTGGCTCGCAGAAGTTTTCACGTTATAATCGTGTTTTCGCAAAAAAAGTTGACCAAATGTTGTGACTGCAGAATTTTGAAAAGAGCGATAATTGTTAACACATTAAATAGCCGTTTCGATAGGCCTTGAAATTAATCCCATCAAGGAAATCTCGAGCAGTAACTTAGGAAAGGCGTATACAAGAGCGATAGTATACAAATCGTGAGTATAAAATCCTAGTTTAAAGGTCACTAATTGTACGATATTTAGTTTAAAGTAGGAAGAGCAAAAGCTTTCGTTGGAAACGAACTAAAAAATAAAGCGGATTAAAAGAGTTGGAAACTGAAGTTGCTAGATTAACCCAAGAAAACAAACAACTAAAAGAACAGCAGAATAATCAAACTGCTCAAATTGAAGTTAAAGAATCTAAATGATGATCGTGATTGAAAATAAAAAAGTAAAAAGGTTATTCTAATAATTTTCTTTTCTTTTTTGATTCTCGGTTAGAATTTTCTTGCATTCTTTAAAACTCTTTCCTCTTGATAAACTTCATAAGTAATATTTTCTTTGTTTAAATATGCTTGCAAAGACTTGATTCTGTTAGTTTGAAAATATATGGTACAATTTTTTCGCCTTGTTCTTTTTTTAGAATACTTCTGATTGTGCTGTAATTCTTTGGTTCAATGGTGGATTTGATGTAAATTAACTTCATTAACATATAGATCAAGACGACAACATAGTTCTGCGTTGGAGAAATGTTATTATCTGGAGAATGTCTTAATGCTTCTTGGGCAATTGTCATGCCATCTGCTTGCTCGTTCAAACTTGTGGTCATCGATAACGATTTCAGCATAAGCTATTTATTCTTTTGAACGTGCCCTATACTCTCTACCCATCTATCTGCCACCATTGTTTTCCTCCACAATTCCATCATTCTTCATACTGTTTGCTCAGATTCCGTCGTAACTTCTTCTGATTCTCATCATTTGAAGTTCTTTATCGAGCACCAACCATAGCTATACAATAGGTGAAATTAGTAAAGGCCAAATTCAACAATACTGAATAGTTATATTAACCTATCAAGTCACAACTGCCTAGGAAAACAGAATAAACCAATTACCATCAGATCTGTCAGAACCTTGCAAGTCCCAATTTCAAAAGTCGGTGTATGCCTAAAAAAGTCTCATTATCATAACTGGCGAGCATCCACCCCATGTAGTATTAGTGTTTGTTCACATCCAAGCAATCCATAAAGAAAAACTGAAGATTTAGCCCACACCTTGTACCATATAAACTAGAAATTTCACTGGTGATGCTCGCTTCAATTTTATTCTAGATATAATGACAAGGTTTAACATATCCTTCTCCTTCGTGTTATGACGTTACATGGCTTGGACCTTGGATTCTTCTGTGACTGAAATCAGGGACCAAGCACCACGATACGCACTCTTGGAGTTTTGCATTCTTTATTTGTTTACACCTACGATTGAATGCTAAAGGTGTACTTGCAACAATAAAGCATAAACATTACATATATTAAATAAATAACTATATACATATTCTATATTTATAACTACATAATCTATAATACAAACCTTAAAAAAAAAACCAACTTATGTTACATAATTAACTAGCTATTCAGTCTAGCTGGGGGGTGAAAAGGGATGCTATGGTAGTTTCTGATGGCCATCCTGCTCGTAGGATGTTTTTCTGGGTTCTGGATTTGTAGTACTTTAAGAGACCTACATATTTACTGTGTATGTCTCCTGGGAGGATTATTCTGTCTGCTATGCGAGCATCCATATGGGCATACCAGATCGCCTGGTAGGTGATGCCCATCGATACGCACTCTTGGCAACTGATCATGAACAACAGCTCTTAGCTGAAGGATAACCGCAGTTCTTCCGAATGACCAGTCAGCGCACCGCCTTCTATGTAACAGGCTGTGGTAGGTGGCCCCGCGAGGGGAATAACCGCAGTTTTTGCCTCAGCCCTACCACAGGCTGAAACATAGGGTTAACAACCCTTCGACAGACTCTTGATAAAGGAAACGGACATCGCTAATTAGTGGGTTTTTGTAATTCGTTTTGTTTTCCAGCCACCCGAATACTTACGAAAAGTCGAAGGAATTGCTGTAATGGCCGGCCGTGGGTGCTCACAGTACAACTCTTGACAGCCGAGTGCGAGCTACATCGTAAGATGAAGGATAACCGCAGTTCCTCAGAACACTCAGCAGCCGTACTGTCTTCCATGAGAGCATCTAGCAACAGAAGAGCCTTCTAATGAAGAATAACCGCAGTTTTTGCTTTTCTGGAGCTAGACGACATCTCACAGGCCTGTACACAACCAGAAAAAACGAGGACTTTTAGTCAACGTGACGTGACGGTACAAAAAGCAAAAAAACTGAGGTAGCAAAGCGTTTTCAATAGCATTCCGATCCCGGAGAACGCCAATCTTGCCAAACCGCGTCGATGGTTAAGCCCAATAATGGGAACACACCCACGACAACCGTAACGCAAACTCTGTAAATGGCGCGTTCAAGAAAAAAGGGCCCGTAGCGCGTCTGTGGCTTGGGGCCTCTAAACAACCGGTTACAGTAACGTGACCATATTTCAGCCAGTCATCAGCTTTGAAATCTTGTGTCGCATGTGGGATTTTGGGGTCGCACGCATGTTTCTTTATTTAGAAGTGAGCTGCATTTACATTTCCTAATAATAATAAGAATGTGGTGATAGATAGTGGCTATCTTATTCGTAGGACATCTATAGCATACCCAACTTTCAGCTTTTTAATAAGTATAAAAAATATATATTAATATTGTTTAATTGATTTTGTATAATAATAATAAAGTATTGTGAAGTTCTCTTGGAAGGCTGATTGATATCTTGGCATTTTGAGCGTCAACCCCCGTTCCCAAGTGATACTATCAAGCGATCAACGAGATCGAATATCTCTACTCTGATTGGTCTAAATCTAAATTCTTTCTTTTAGTTCGTTTCTTTCAAGGACCTATTGTATAGTGAACCCTCTATTCAAGCACACCCTCGGGAATGCATCAGAGCGTGCTTGAATAGAGGGATGCATGAATAGAGGGTCAGTATTTTATTGGTTTCACGTGACCGGTTAACAAAATTTTAATTGCTACTGATTTTAAACTAATGTAACGATCTAGTGCATTAATGTGTTTAATAATTCTTTAGAATCTTCTTGCTGTATCAATTTAACAAAGACGTTTTAGATGTTTAATAATTCGGCTATTGCCTATCACCATGCATTGATGTCCTAAACGGTGACTCCATTACAAAGTCAATAAAGATTTCAGTTAATTCAAGTATCTATATTAATGATGACTTTTTATTAACAACGACGATTTTAACAAAGACGTTTTAAATTTCGACACTATTACAAAGTCTGTAACAATTTCAGTTAATTCAAGTATTTGCATTAATGACGACAAAGATAATTTCTAATATTAACAAAGACATTAAACAGTGTTTCTGTTTCTTTATTCTTATCCATACATAAAGACAAAGGACAGATAACGTCTACATCATGATTCACTTAGAAGCCGATAAAGATTTCTCCGTAACAACGCATATTAATATTAATATATGTAACACGTATTAGTAAAAGATCCGCTGCATTGTCTTTGTATAGACTGATCGTCATAACTTTGACCATTTTAAACCATTATGTAACATAACCTGTTGTACAAATCACATTCACGGGCGTGCATGTATAGAGGGTGAAACTCATATAGTGGGAATCGAAAAAACCGTGCAATGCAGAATATGGAGGGTGTGCATCAATTTCCTAATTACCGAGCTTGGGAATAAGCCATGCGTGCATGTATGGAGGGTGTACATATATGGAGGGTGCTTGAATGGAGAGTTCACTGTATGTTAAATATTCTGCTTATATTGCGAATTGATTGGAAGATAGAGTTTGCCTGCTGAGAAACTAAAGTTGACACTTAAATATTAAATATTAAAGTCTTTATGCAAATTTGTCAATGTACAGTGCCCGGACAAAAGTGACTGATCACCCCTAAAATTCACTAGTAAAACATAGTAAAAACTTTACTGTACGTATTTACTATTACTATGTAAACAGTAATGATTTTAGCACCGTTTTGAAGCTAATTGATTGCGCTTTTCGAAAAAATAATAACGATATATTTAGTCTTGTTGTTGTTATAAAGCTGCAGTCCGATGAGGTGGCAGCATTTACGTACACATATGGAAAATGTATAAAATTATATTAATATGTGTAACATAGATACAGTCACTTAATCGCACGACTCCTTCATTCCAGCATCCCGGACATTTATATGATTGACTAGAATTCAAATGTGTAACATCCTGGAGAAGGACTTTTTATACAGTTTAAACTAATAAAAGAATGTAAAAATTTTACCAAATTTTCCATCACAAAAACCAAACAAACCCATTCTACGCATTCTTAAACACCTGTTTCAGTATTCTGACAAAAGTAATCCTACTAATCCCACAAGTTTAGAACAGGCAATTTTAAACGATCTTTAAAAACAATGGAACTTCCGAATGCACGCCTACAGAAGAAACTCATTGGGCCGTGTATTATTTGTGGAGTGGAGGGAAATAAAGGAAAATTTCGAAGGTTTACTGAAGACGCTTACAAAAAAGCTCTACAGCATGGAACCTTGGATTCTACATGGGTATTAAACGTTACTCAGTTCTGTAACAGTCATTACATGACTTACATTGTGAATGGTACTAATACTGAGAAAAGCGTCAAGACACCTGAGAGTGCAATTTCTTTAAAGAGACGGTGGAAAGATGATAATATAGAAAGAGGAACTATAGGAGACCAAATTGATTGTGACAATAGTCAACGAGAGTTAATAATGGAGACATCAGAGGTAAGTGACAAGGGGGAGAGAATCAAAGAGATTGATTTTATTGAATGTGTTAGATCGATGGCACAAATCTTTTATACAAGAGAAAAGAAAGAAAAAAAGGTACCAGTATATGATTGGAAGTTGCTTCGGCTGGAGTTGGAGTCAATAGACATTGGCCTTAAACCATTCCTCAACCTCCTTGAGAAGTTAATTAATCCGAGCGGTAAAGGTCTCAAAGACCACACAATCTCGCAACGGCAGAAAGGCCTCTCATTCTTATGTTATTTTCTTGCAGGGATTGGAAACAAACATATCAGTTCATTGAAAAAGGATATTGCAATGTTTCTAAATCATTCAGGTACGTCTGATCAAGCGATCGATACCTTATCTAACATGCAATTAAGTTCTACGTCGAGGGAGAATCGACGTGAGAAAAATATTATATCTTCTATTCACAGAGATAATGTTACAAGAGATCTTGTGAAATATCAGACAAATGCAATAATCGTTAATATTGACGACTATCATAATATTCATGGTCTACGGATTCCAACAACTACGTCGACTAGTGCCGTTGCACATATGACTACAGTCCTTGCCATCCCAATACCTACAGCGACTGCGATCCCAAAATACGTCGGAGATAATGTATACGCAAGCATACATAACCCACGAATCGTTGATAATAACGTTTTAATCAATAAAATAGAAGACCGATTTATGGCTCTCCTTTCTCAGTCCTTTAATGATCGGTTTGCAAAACATTCTGAAAGTGATTTACTTGACAATCTAACTGTTCATTGTTATGATATAGACATCCACGAAAAGCGACACAATCGGCAACTTAACAATACGTTATTAATAGATTTTGTCGAACTCAATTTACATTCGACGGAGGCATATATTAAGGCCATGGAGACATTCGCATCCTTTCCGGAATTTCACGAATATCTCCAGCGTAATGTTATTCCATTGGTTGCTGATTGGCCAGGCCAGATACTTCCCCGAAAAGTGATTACTATGCAACAACAACAATCGCAGAATATTCAAACGGGTAAAATTCCAGAATGCGTTAGTTCATTTATTCCAATAATGGGACCTTTGCATGTATCTCTCAACAGTCGTGAAACTGTTATGATGTTATTTTACGACTTTTTTAATTTAGCATATAAGTCCATTTTTGGAAAAAACAAAAGACTTGCTAACAAGCCTCGTCCTTGGAGAATTAATCTTCTATTACAATTAATGTCAGATGCTTGGAAAAACGTCGCTCCATATATTGAGCAAAAATTTGATTTTTCTTGTTCCAGAGATGTTGAATATCTAACATTAAAATCTCTTTTAGATGACGCCATTCCTTTAGTTCTCAACGTTTACGCAACAATTTTTAGATCGGGCGATTGGGATGGATATATTGAGGCTTGTGTGAGAATATGGTGTTTGTTTGCTCGATTTAAACGAAGAAACTATAACAAAGCACCATTGTTCTTTCTTTCAGACGTATGGTATTGGGAAAGTATCAGTCATCCTATTCTCGAGATTCTAAAAAAGCATCTCGTCTCATTTAGTGATTATCCCGTGGAGAATTATCATTCATTAATTCGACGACAAACACGGGAAACGGATACACCTGAACAACTTTCAAGAACGGCTCGCGTTATCAATTGTCTTCGGCACGATAATGTGTTTCGGGATACATTTGTTTCATCAACAAGATATCCTTACCGTAAAGAAGATTTAATAGGTTTAACTAATAGAGCATCGAT